GCCGTGCGCAGAAGCGATGTCAAGGGAATCTCCTGATTAGTTCACGTATCGCGTCTTTTGCGCGCTCGAGGTCGTTATTTCAAATCCTCTATGTTTCAAATAGGCGCTCACGGGACGCGCGCTCATAAACTTTTCAGTATGGGAGTGCACGTGCACCCAAACACTTGGGTGTTTTTCTCTTCTCCGTAAATAAATCTTTAAGCAGAGCTACAGCAAGCGTTTTTCTGTGGTGGAAATACATTAGCTACTAAAACATCTTTGTCGTTGGAGAGCGCAGTGTAATGAGTGCATGGTTGTATAGCAACAACAGCCATGGGAGAATTTTACTGTTAACAATAAAAGATAAGCTACTGTGCATTATAAATATCAGGAATGTATCTTTATTGACTCATTCTTTTTATAGAGATGATTTAAATGCCAAAATATGAGGTTTATCTTTTTATAAAACCTTTTTTTGTGTTAACATTTTTTTAAGTTTAATAGGTAAGATAAAAGACACTCCTTTAAAACAAATCTTTAATGTTATTAACTTGGTGAATTGATTTCACTGTGTATTAGGCTTTTTAAACAAGATTCTGTGAATGTGATAATTTTGGTCACTATATTATCTAATAATTTTCATAATGATCAACTAAAATCAACTTTAATTATGCGTTTTTACAGTAGACTATAATATGCAAAGTACAAGTTTCTATTTTCTAAATAATCTCTGATTCTGGCCTTCTGTCCTGACATTTTAAGAGTGACATTTAGGGGCTACAAAAGCTATTTTAGGTCAATAATGGATAGTTGTTAATATGAGAGCTGTTCAAAATTATTTAAGAGATAAGTATTATGTTACAAAATAAGTATCTCTCTGACCCTTTTACTTTTAAAAACTCAATTTCGTGATAACAAGTCATAACTAAAAGTGTGCCATGCATATAATTCAAGGCAATAACCAATGCGCAGTTTCAGTTCCTCCATTGAAAGTTAGATGAATCTAGCAAAATAACTGTGTTTTGGGTTGTTGTTGTAACTGTGTTTTGGGTTGATTCTATTAACTGTGTTTTGGGTTGTTGTTGTTGTTGTTTTTGTTGTTTTTTTTTGTTGTTTTTTTGGGGGGGGGGCGCTCGAAGGGGTTTTTGTTGTTTTTTTTTGTTGTTTTTTTGGGGGGGGGGGGGGGGGCGCTCGAATTACACCTCTCGCCCTGGGTGTAATTCGAAGTAGAACCGCCACTGTGCATTGTAGCAGGAATCCTTTGCATTTTGTTGGTGTACCATCGAATTTGTCAGGAAATGCGAGTCGTGGATTGACTGCGGTACTCACAGTTTCAGGAGGAGCTCTCGGTAAAGGTGGTGGAGCGGGCGTGTTTGGTACGACGCCGATGGTGGTGCGAAGCTCCTGCATTCACTGTACCAGTTGTTCGGTGAGAGTGGTCAGGTGACTTAGCTGTTGATGGTGTAGATCCAAACGAGAAGCTTGGGTTGTGAGTTCGGTGGTTAACTGCATGACGGCTGCTGGATTAGTAGACCGCGAAGTCTTCTGTAATGAACCACAGGGAACAGAGGAATCCATTTGCAGCTTTTATTAAACAGAGTCGTACAGCCAGGGTCGAGACGAGGCAGACAGAGCAATGCAGACAAGGCAACAGGATAATCCAGGAAACAGAGATCAGGGCAGGCAGCAATAAACGTAAACGGGAAACAGGCCGAGTTCAGGCCAGGCAGATATCAATCGAAGAATAGTCAAACAGTCCAAAGTCCAAAACCAGAATCAGGGAATAAACGTTCAGAAATGATCACCGGGGCAAATCAAGACTTCGCACTGGTGTGGTTTGCTGGTGTCTGTGTTTATGTGTGTGTGGGTGTGTGGGTGTGTGTGGCTGACTGTAGATTTTTCCAGCAAGTCCTTGTCTTTTTGCATAAAAATTTTGTATTTTTTTTTTAAATGACAAAATATGCATATAACCCTAATCTTTTAAACGTATACTTTGCTTTAAATTAAAGTAAGATAAATTGGTAAACTACAAATTGGTAATTGAAGCTGAATGAATTTAAAATTCATGTGCTATATTTCAATACATTTGCTTTCCTTAATATTGTAAAACACTAACCTCATTCTCATCTGAATTACAAATATTTTTTTTCTGTATAAAATAATACTCTGATTAAAAAAGAAACATCAAATGTGTTTTTAGTCAATGTAGAATGTGTAACTTAAAAATAAACAGATTAGTGCTCTGTTTGAGGACAATCCTGTGTGGGGAGTGGGCAGGGGATTTATCTGTTGAGTGAGATTTAATTAAAATTTTAAAGTTTTTCAATGTAGCATTCTAATCAGGTAAAGCAAGTAATATTCTGTCTTTATATATATATATATATATATATATATATATATATATGTGTGTGTGTGTGTGTGTGTGTTTGGGGTAAAAAGTAAGAGTGTGAAGTATAGATGAAACGATGCAAGCTCTTCAGCACACTTCTCTTCGACAGTCAAAGCGGGGGTTAAGTTTTTGTACGTTGTGCAGAATAACCCTCTTTATATATATATATATATATATATATATATATATACTTAAAAAAGTGGGGATTAAGTTTTTGCACGTTGTGCAGAAAAACCCTAAAGGCGATGACACCGACTTTTATATATATATATATATATATATATAGCTGCGAGTAGAGATGAAGGGCCAAAGCCGGCGGTACCGCCACCCCGGTGCCTTTAGGTAACTAAAGACACCAGGGTTGCGGTGCCATCGGCTTGGGCCCGCAATCGCTGCTCGCAGCTATATTTAGGGCCCAAGCCCTGAAAGGGCGAAGGCCCTATTGTTTTCCTTAGGATTATTTATTAGGGCCCAAGCCCTGAAAGAGCGAAGGCCCTATTGTTTTCCTTAGGATTATTTATTCTTATTATTATTTTACTACCTTTTTGGCACTTTTGGAGCCCTTAACATGCTCGAAAACTCTTGAAACTTTGCACACGGGTCAGAACCCGCGGCCATCAGGGCCGGGCTGAAGATGGTACCCGGGCGTGGCAGGGGGGCTCGTCAGCGCCCCCTGGAACGTGGTCCGAACACTTGGTCCATGAGTCTCATGGTGAGTCTAAGTTATAGCGCCACCAACTGGCAGCAGAAAGTGTGTCACTTTCAAAATGCTTTGAAATCACCCTCTTAATATAACCCGATTTGCTTCAAACTTCATCTGTATAATGTAAACATACGGCAGATGAAGACGTGTGAATGGATTCTTCAAGTCAAGTCACATTTATTTATATAGCGCTTTTCACAATACAGATTGTATCAAAGCAGCTTCACAGTGATAACATGAAAGTAGTACAACACAGATCAATAATATTGCTAAACACTAAATAACCCCAACTGAGCAAGCCAAAAGCAAGGCGACAGTGGCAAGGAACCAAAACTCCATCAGATTGGATGGAGAAAAAACCTTGGGAGAACCCAGGCTCAGTCGGGGGCCAGTTTAGCCTGGCTGCGCCCTCCTACGCACTTCCGCTCAATTTCATTTTACTTCAGTACTACGTCTGGGATCGCTCCATATCCTTAGGTTTCCAAAAACCAATTTTTTGTAGGACCAATCAGCGAATAGAGGGAGTGGCTGAGAAAGATGACGTTGATGTAAGCGCGTCAGTTTCAATTCAGTAATGGCAGCGGAGAAAGACGTGAGAAAAGCTATTCGGTCCGTTGTTGGAAAAGAAACTGCCGAATATACAGAATTTAAAGCCGGATTGTTATCGTCTAACCTCTTGTTGCACAACTGAGGACCAAGTGAAGGAGGCAGAAAGTTTGGAAGTTTGTGCTGGGCAGTTCGTGCACGATGACCGTGACATTTTGGACGGACGGTTTAGCCTGGTGTTCGGAAGCCCCGAGTCCTGGCTGCTAAACTATTGTTGAAGATCCGCTCAGGAGTCATGTCAGTCGCTCATATTCCCAACTGTATATTTACTGATTCTTGTGATGTATAGAACATTTTGAGCCCCTTTGTGCACTCGTGCAGGAGGTTGGTGTGTCAGTTTTACATGTTGTAAATCATACAAATTCGTTGTGATTTAAAAAAAAAAATTGTCATAAATAAAAATGTGAAAAACCATACTTTGAAGATATTTGATTTTCAGTTTTAGATGGCAATGGTTGATTTGTTTTACTAAAAAAAGTAAATGGCACATAAAAATGTACAAACACATACTTTGAAGACCATAATTAAGGTAATTAAGAATCAATAAGACGTAATATGAAAAAATTGTTGTTTATTACACATCTGCAGATAGAGACATGACTGATCATTCACTGTAGCTGCTACAGCATTTACGGCAGATCAGAAAACGACCACAGCGGCGTATTTGTAATGATTAGACACAGCTTCCACCATTGAATGAATATATCACTGTCCTTCATGTCAAATTTACATTTCGAATTAATAATTGTTCCTAGATTAACAAAACCTGCGGCGCTCGTTGACTGAAATCCTACTGTAAACATAATCCTCTGATCATTCGGACTTGTTGTTTCCAGCCATTTCGGCGCGTGACATACGTCACTCACGACACCCCGTTAGCGATTGGCTATGGCAGATCGTGAGTGACTTTGGGCAGATCCAATAAATTTGAACTTTAATAGTGAACCCGCCTACAAGGAAGGAAACGTTTTTCAATGGAGCGGTTCCAGACTCTATGTGGAAATGAAATGAACTAGAGTCTGGTTGAACCAGGCTAGGGCCAGTTCTCCTCTGGCTTACATTTATATTGTTTATATATAAATAATAAATATAAATATTGTTTATGTATAAAACGGCGCCATAACATATCGCAGGCGTTGAGTCGTCTCCTCTTGATATCTTTGAAACTGTTGCCGTGGCAACGCATCAAACTTTACCATTCTTTTAGGATGCTTTTGAGACCCTTAGCATGCTTCAAATTGCAAGAAACTCAGACACATCACATTTATTAGCCAGTAGACATGTGCAAAGTTTCAGAAACGGGCGTGGTGTGGGCTCAAAAATTAGAGTGTTCAAAGCAGGCCGCCCGTCGCCGCTGAATACCGCAGCTAGGAATAATGGAATAGGACTCCGGTTCTCTTTTGTTGGTTTCTGGAACCCGGGGCCATGATTGAGAGGGACGGCCGGGGGCATTCGTATTGCGCCGCTAGAGGTGAAATTCTTGGACCGGCGCAAGACGGACGAGAGCGAAAGCATTTGCCAAGAATGTTTTCATTAATCAAGAACGAAAGTCGGAGGTTCGAAGACAATCAGATACCGTCGTAGTTCCGACCGTAAACGATGCCGACCCGCGATCCGGCGGCGTTATTCCCATGACCCGCCATCGGATTAGGGAGGGATTGCACAAGTGAAACTCAAGAGATTTGACGGTTACTTTTT